CAGCGCACCCATATATAGGGAATAWAAGTTCTGTCTGTGTCATGTTGACAGTCATGGCCTTTCCATTGCTTTGGTAGTGTTCCCACTTGCGCTGTGACTGTAACAGTGCCCCAAATCTTATACCTGCATGTGGTCTTGTTCCTGATGTGCCTAAAGACAATACCTACTTTAGTGCTGGCTACCAATTCAGAGACCCCTTTGGAGAAAGTTACTTTCAGATATCCATCCTCTTGGAATGAGGACTAAGGTACTCACATTAATGAGGTTATAGCTCATGGACCAAGTAACTTTTTGTGACAAGTTTGTGCTTGACAGCTGGCATAGGTTTTATGTACCCTCGCTTAATGCTACTTGTTAACATTTGTATGGTCTCTAGCCAGTACAGCTAGCCAGAACCATCTGTTACGCACAGAAGTTTTCTGCCATCACCCTGCAACTATGCCAACATTTTGTTCCCTGTTGGAATGTATGCTCTATGTTGTAGCTCTGTGGCAGTGGCAGAGGCAATGCACAAGGTTTAGTTGCCTTGTCAACCTCCAGTWGTTCTCTTTCTGCCATTCAAATGTGCCTAACTGAGGAGCACTGCACACTGACAGGACAAAAAAGAGCTCAATGAACTGTGCTAGCAAAAGTGGTCTAGCGATCACAGGTGACTGCTTTCTGTAAGGTTAGTGCATTTGGTTCTCAGTGTGGTTTTGAATTTTCTTGCCTGTTTTTTTTAAATCCCTTAGAAAACAAAAGTTACACATCCATAAGAACAGAAGCTTTGTCTGTGATACAACTGCTGCTCACCAAACTACAAGGTGAGACCTTTTCCTTGTCACCTGGGAAAGCCACTGTTTGATAAAGATGGCACCTGGCTATATGGCCTGGAACCCTGGAGAGATCGCCTTACCTTCTGCTTGCAGCACTGGGCAATTCTGGGAAGCTGGGACTTGAAAGTTGGAGAGGGCTGGAAGTAACTGGGGCTAATATAAAGGTCGGAAGTAGTGTTGGATACTCCTTTGGTGAGAAAAATGTGCAGCAAGGGAGTGTCTCGCATGGAGCACACAGAACTGTCCCATCAAATCTCTGTTATGTTAATACAGAAGCGTGATCTTTACCTTTTCAGTGTCCAGTTTGGTTTCTTATTATTTAGAATTCAAGCCTTGCAGAATTGACTTCACAGGAAGAGTGTTTTTAGGTCTCAGGGTCATACGTGTCTGCAGTTGCTATGTAGCAAATTTTCCCTTTGAGTTTCCTTTATTCTAGCACAAAACCTTACATGCCTCTTTCATGAGCCAATTGCAACATGAGAAACGTTTGCTGCTTCAAGCCCTTGTGTTCCCATGTTGCAGGCTTAGACAGTGAAGCCTGGTCTGAAAAAGGCACGACTCCCTGGGCAGGATGCAGCACATGCACCCGAGTGTCCGGGTGATTTTGAGTTCTCCTGCAAGCACAGTATGGACTGCGAGTGAAAGGYTGAAGCAGTCGCTCTTTTAGCCTGTCTGGGGAAAGCAGTGTCACTTTGGATTTTTTTTTTGGTGTTCTGATGTTCATGTTCAATGTCTGTCTGTCTTTATCTGCACAGAAGCTCAGCAGTGGGAAAGCCTGACACCAGAAAGCAGAGAGCACCTCGTTCATTCGTTGTCTACGATGGCATCAGATAGCAGACCTGAGCTACAAGAGAGGGCATTCGTGTTGAAGAAAACACTTGAAAATCTTGATTGAGTTGTAAAACATAAATTTCAAAGTGCCATGTAAAACAAAAACAAAAAAGTGCAGTGGTCTGAAAACCAAGTGGGGAAATGAAGATTACTCTGTAGGATGCATCATTCCTGGCCAAAATAAAAAATGCCTTAAATTCTTTTCCCCATTAATATTATTTTTACTCTTAAGCTGATCGTTAGTTGTTTTATCTGCAAATACCTCTAGCAGTCTGCCCTAGAATGTTTCTTAGTGTGCAACATAAAAAATGCAAGGGCAAGATGCTTTTTTTTTTTTTTAAATCGGCAGAAGAATGTTACTCATACCCCCTTTCTCCTTCAAAGAAATTGTTGAAAAACCACTAGCACAAAAAGTGAAAAGCATATTCAGCTTTCACATTTTTTGTACTTAGAGATCTGTTAACTGGTGTCTACTGCAGTAGTGCTGGTGTTTGTTATCCGTGGAGAATAAAATGCTTCCCCTGATGAGGCCTGTGTCAAACACCTGTGGCTTCCCAGGGGCAGGGTTTCATCTGACACCCACCTCTGCTTCTGCTTGCTCCTCCCTTGCAGCCTGTTGTCTGTGCATTATGAAAGGCAGAGTACTGTTAACTTCACTCCTTTCTCCTCTGACCTCAGCATGGATTGACCGAGACTATGCCTTCCCCAGCTGGCAACCTCGGCCTCCCAAACTTTAAATGAGAACTTCTTCCCTCAAAGGATGCACAAGAGAGCACTTTACTGAGCTGAGTGGGACAAAGTTGAGCCTAGTTGGTACCCAGGTGGAACACTGCTCTTATCAAAATTGTTTTGCATGGACACTCCTTAGCTCCAGGAAATTTGAAAAAAAAAAACCAACTCCAAAACAGTCTTTTCTAGGTATGTTTTTGAAGAGAGTTTGAAGTTTGAAATGACACATTTTTTTAAYAGTGGTAATGTTTTATTCCCTTCCTGTTCGTAAACCTGTTCTTGCTCTGGAAACCTGTAACAATTTAGACTTGTCAATATTTGTAAGAAACTGAATCATCTGTCATTTATCAGAGCCCAAGTCATGCTGGTTTCCAGCAATTTGCACTTAAGATTATATCTGCATTAACATGGGAGTAAAATTGCTATGTGGTGATGTGGCCCTGCTGCCTGTCTCCTTTTTTCCCTCCTCCTCTGACAAAAGACAAATCTGACCACTATAGCAACAGACTTTTAAAAGTGTGAAGATAGCACTGCTCCATAAACTGACCAGTATGTGTACAGCTTTTTGGGGATAAATGCTTGGCTGATGGTGAAATAAAATCGTTAGTGTGGGCAATATCATGTTCATGGCTTTCAGCACAGGAAGGCTCATTTCTTTTCTTGCAGTTTGCAGCTCCTTTCAGATCTGCTGTTAGGGAGAGGATTGCTCAGATGACACCACGTTTCCTCCATGCCCATTTATTCAGATGCAGGTATGCAGTACCTACTGTCCCCTCAGGTGCCATTTCCCAGTCAGTGTTTCCTGGTACTGTAACAATCTTGTTGTCTGACTTGCTCTCCATATGGAAGAATGTAATTTGTGCACACCTGGTAAGAGGTCAGGAAGAAATGGGCAGAGCTGTCCCACTGTGGCTCTCGTGTAGCAGGAACCTCAGCGAGCACTATTGCATTGTACACTAGAACTGGTCAGTGGGCAACTCCTTGGTGCTGGGAGCTGGTGCTATAATGTTTTGATTTACACCTCGTTGCAGGGAGCTGCTCTTCGTTTACGTGTAGTTTGAACTATTGAGCACAGTGTACATTTAAAAATTTTACTGGGCAAATAACTTTGCAGTATCTTTAAAAACTTGCTTACCGTGACATGTAGCTTTATGAGTGCTTTTTTTTTTTTTTTTTGTATTAGGTGAATATTACCAATGATGCTTTGCTGTAGCAGTTCATTGTCTGACTTGGGTTTTTTCATATAGGTGACAGTAACAGACAAGCAAGAGCCTCCATGTCTCTGGTAATCTGAGTTTTCACTGTGGACTGGAGTATTCAGAGGGAATGCCTAGTACAGTCAAACGACTGTGCATAGAATAACTGTAATCATTGTCAATAGCAACCTGAATTTCTCTATTGGGGATTTACACTAGAGCGTATTCTAGGAACTCTATAAAACAGCTGGATTAACAACTCTGGCCAAGAGTGTTAGGAAGGTTAGAGACAGTATGACACTTTCTGAATCACAAAGCAATATGTCTTTCTCGTGATTACAGAGCAGATTCAGAGCTCCTCTCTAAAGCATGTGCCTATACACAAAACCTACCTGTACAAAAGTTAATTAAATCAGAGGTTTGATTTCTACCCCCCTCACATTTGTAAACTCGATAGAATTAAAAAGAATAAATAAATAGATGTGGCCTTCCTAGAGTTTCTCCTCTGAAAGTGATTGCACTATGTAAAACACACTGTACTTTGCCCAGCACGGGCATTTCTTGTGCTGCTGCGATGCTTTGTATACCTGGAGTGCAGTGCGCAGACTCGACTCTAGCACTCTCGCTCTGACTTACAAGCTGTTGCTTAAATGGATGTATATTGAGAAAAGTTTTCTAATGTTGCAAGATCTCCATCAAATTCACTGCAATCTGTACTGTCCAAATATGTGAATGGTCTGACTGAAAGAAAACCCTCCTGCTTACCAAAAAGGTAAAATTAAATAAAAGCTGCATGACCTGTTCCTTGGAATAACTGGTAGTGTTTTTTCTCCTGTGGTGAGTATTTCAGAGCATTCCCATGCTCCAGATTCACAGTGCTGCTGTTGTGCTCCACACTGGCCCACCACCCTAGGCCCCTCCCTTTATGGAGACACACAGTGGCTCTGCAGCCCTGGAAGGAACTCTGTGTTTTTAAACCCACAGCTTCTTCTCCTGCAGCCAGGCAGGGTTAGGGGATGTGTCTGTATTACTTAGACACGTTCTTTGTATATATTATTTGTACAGCCTTGTATATATTACATATACATGGTAGATGAGGCCATGAGATAGAAAATTTAAATAATATTCAAGAACTCAGGATATCCGAATTATTCCAGACATGCATACATTTCTGCCCAATGGAACTTCAGTTATGTGTACTTTTGTAAATTATATTCTGAAAGGAAGAAAAAGAAGGAAGGGACAAAAATGGGGTAAGCATAGGAGAGCACAAAAACACAAACTTTACAGCTGTTGGCCGCCAAGTGAGACAATATCCCCACCATACACAGGGCACACATGCGTCCTGTGCTATGGTGAGCAGAGGCCTTCTCTGCAGTGCTGTGACAAGGCTGGGTTTCTGCACTTTGGGCAGGAGTCCCGCAGAAATGTCATTTCTGGCCAGTGACAGCAGCGGGATACATTCAAATAAGTTGAAAACTGAGAAACGGTTTAATTTTGAGTAGGCATTGCTCAGTGAAAAATCATGAGGAAGGAAAGCACACCACCAGGTTGTGTAGTTAATAGCAACAATTTAAAAAAAATAGTAAAAACAGTGTTAGTTGATGATTGCTTTAATACTTAATAGAAACAATTAAAAATGGTAAAGACAGCATGAGTTAGTCGATGATTACTAATCCTTAACAGATTATAATAAAACAATTATAGTAATTTAAAATTGCCTATGTCACTTTCATCTGGAATTTGACAACAGCCAAGGAGCATTGTTACTACACTTTGCAACACATCTTCTGAATGCAGTTTACTCATATTTCCCTCATTGAAAGGCTTTTAAGTTTACGGAGTTACTGCTTCTATACATATAGATGTAAATGCTGACAGAGAAATGACACTAAGAGGATTAAAATTGTCCATCATACCTAAAATAGTACTGACGGTTACAGATTGTTTCCTAAGAATTTCAGTTCTTAAAAGATGCAGATATAAACTAAAATCTAAGACACAGAAACACATTAAAAAAAAATTTAAAAGCGATGTGACACTTAAGAAGGTGCTACTGCACATGAAAGACCATTGCTTCCCAGCTCTAGAGATCCTCTGGACTCGTTCATTCGAGAATCTGAGCTTTCTTGGCTTTGTTGCGGATGGAGTCATTTTTTCTGCTTTGAGCCTGACTGTATCTTGTAATAGTGGACACACCATCCACAAACCTGGTCTTGTAGAGGACATTTGCATTGTTGAACATTCCATCTTTCAAGGACACCACAATAAACTAAAACAAACCAGAAACACTTAAAATAAATGTTGTTATCGAAATAAAGACTTGAACAACAAGAAAAGGCTTCCGAAGAGAGAACTCATTTTCTTCTACTTCATTTGGCTAATACCTCAGTAATAATTCTTAAAATTCTAACCCAGGCGCAACAGAATGTGCAGAATGTACAGGTTAACAAAACACCCACAGACCAGACTTTTTCTACTGCTAACGACACTTCTTCCATGTCCCAGCACTTGGCCTGGGACACAGTCCCTAATGTCTGTTCACGGTAGGAGAAAACACTGGGAAAAAAACAGTGCCACTAATTATCTAAGAATGTAGGATCCTAGTCAAAAGACTCAAATAATTTTACAATACTGGTAAACAAACGTTCCCCTCCTTGATGCCTGATCATTTTTGCTTTTCCTTTTATGCTTTCTATACCGTCTTATGTATCCGCCTGTACCCCTTAGCCCACATGCTTGTAATTCCTGGAGGTGATATTCCATTTTAGTTTAGGAGTTCTGCTGGGCAGAGAGACCAAACATCCTGAGGAAGGAGTCMGTGTGCCCTGTGCTCTCTAAACCTGAGGCTCCAGTCTTGGGTGAAGCCTTCTGTCGGGAACATCTTGTGTAAACTAGGCTCTGGCCTCATCTGGGGGGGGATTCATTAGAATAGGGAGACATTACTGCATTTGTTAAGTTTCTTACTGGGGAATCCTAGATAGATATGCTRATTCCTGARACCTATAAAACTTGTATCCRTGCTGTACMCGGGTGTGCATTCTACCATCAAGTTGTGCACCTGGGATCCCAAATACCGAGGTAAAACCCTTTTATCCCCTTAACCGTGTCTGTGTCATTATTAAAAACTGGCCTTTCAAGGCAACATCCTCACTCGCATGATTTGGAATAGTCATGTTCTTGCATCAAATAGAAACAGGTACTGCCTTTTTTCATGTACAGATCACAGTGATACAGGGATTCGTTCCATTCGTGCCTGACTTATTTCAATAGTCAACATGAAATATTTTTAAACTCAGGTTAAAGAACTCTAGGAAGATAGAATTCAGAATGTTGTCATGCCTGAAATTAAGCATGTCACAGATGCACTTCCCTATTGCTCTCTTTTAACCAGTGCAGCACCAGCTTTCATTGAAATGTAACATTTAAGTTTCACCATTGCCATATCATCAGTTTAGATTTTAGCTGAAACTCAGAAATATAACACCCATCCCTAGAATGAAAGAGGTAAAGAGCTCAGAGTCCTCAGTGCAAGACAGCTTTTGGAAATAATGGATAGAACTCTGAGCAATCTGGTCTGGTGGAAGGTGTCCTGGCCCATGGCAGGGGATTCAACTGGATGATGTTTAAGGTCCTTTCCAACCCAAACCATTCTATTACCACAGTAATTTCAAGACCATACCTGTGAGTGCCTGAAATGCGTTTGAAGCATCTGTCCAATATTCTGGGTATGAGAGAGATCAAGGGCAGCATCCACTTCATCCAAGATGTAAACTGGGGCAGGCCTGAAGAGGAGCATGGCTAATATCAAGGATAAGGCCACCAGTGATCTAGTATGGAGACAAGAAAGTTATGACTTACTCTCAGCTGAAAGGCTTTTGGCTTCTGAAAACAATTGCTGAAAGGCAACAAAGGTGGTGAAGGGTCTGGAGTACAAGTCTGATGGGGAGCAGGTAATGGGTTGTTTAGCCTGGAGAGAAGGAGGGCCGGGGGGACCTTACTGCTTTCTACAACTCCCTGAAAGGAGGCTGTAGCCAGGTGGGGGTTGGCCTCTTCTCCCAGGTAACAAAAGGCTGAACAAGTGGAAACKGCCTCACGTTACACCAGTGTAGGTTTAGATTGGATATTAGGAAAAATTTCTTCACTGAAATGGTTATCAAGGATTGAAACAGGCTGCCCATGGAAATGGGGAGTCAGCATCCATAAAGCGATTTAGAAGACATGTAGATATCAGGCTTAGTGGCACTGTTTAATGGTGGATCTAGCAGTGCTAAGTTAATGACTGGACTTGATGATCTTAAGTTTTTCCAGCCTAAATGATTCTATGATCCTAAAATGCTCCCTCAAAAGCAGGCAGATTCTTGTTATGATTCTGAAGAGGTGGAATGACATCTTCCCATTTCAAAATGTGAAGTCGTCTGTAAAGAAATGGCAAATATTATACTTCTTATTGAAAGATCAAGTTAGTTGGGTGATGATACTTAAAATTATGCTGTTGCTCTATTTTCAATTATGAGTTTTGCAACCATGTTTTTCAATGTATTGTTCTTGAAGTAATCTGCCCTTAGAAAGTTCTGTATCTCAAAATTCTGTTCCTGCTTTTCAGTTTAAGATTTTTTACCTTAGAAGTTGCAAAGAAGGACATCTCTACACAGTACCTTTAGAAACTGGAGAAGAAAACTTTTGCCATGACACCACTTCTGTCCTGGGGAAGTACTTGTCTGTACTGATTATTGTGGTTACATCTCAAGGAGATATGGAATGTGGTTTTCTTACCATTCAATTAAATTTTTTTGTCTCTGCTGTGTGGAGTAAAATCTTGTTATCATCTCACACTAAGTAAAGTGTTCTAAGACAGAATGTATTAATAGTGCTTCCAATATTGAGTCTGTTTGGAAGGAAACAGAGTCCCTGACTTGATAAAGAAGTAACTTTTTTGCTTTTCAGAACTTGAATTAGTTTGACAAATGACAGTGGAAACAAGTAAATTCACCCACCTTTGTCCTCCACTAAGTTCTGTTAAGTTTTCCTTCCAGGTGTTTCCTAAGGCAACTCTGAATTCCATACCATTCAAGACATTGTGGGTTTTAGAGGCGACTAACATAGCTCTGGCTCCAGGTAGGAGTGTTGAGAAAATGGAACCAAAGTCTTCATTCACCTACAAGTCAGACCACACAGACAAAGATGTATGAATCTGCTTTGAATGAAGAGTACAAAGAGTGTAAAACTTCATGGCGAGCTGCATGATGCTTGAGACATCCAGCCCAATTCAACACTGTGACTTCCCATGTCACATACAGGCCAATGAGGAAACAGTGGCTTTAATTTTCTTTGTACTGAAGAGACAAGCAATACYGAAGGATATATGACACCTCATACTAAGTGTTTTAGACAGATCAAATGAAAGAAGTATTGAAGTCTTCTTTATGCCATCACTCAGAGAAATGGTTATACCCGAGCTCAGATTCATTAACTGGTAAATTGTGATTTCTCCCAGTTAATGGACAACTAAAAGTACAAGTGCCATGTAAGAGATACACACTGGCATCGTCCTCACTCTTTCTTCCCAGGTTTTCTTAAGCCAAGTCCATGTATGGGATGATATGCAACTTTGTAAATGCAGATTAAAGCTTCCTAGATGTAGGAATTTATCTGTAAACACATCCCACCATGCATGAAGCTTTTGAGTACAATTCACTAATTTCTGTTAAACACTATTTTTACAATGAAAAGGTACTGTTTTGTCAGTGATATCCTGCCTACAGGCAAGCTTATAATTAAACAGATACTTCATCTATGTACAATTGACTCTTGGTTATAGCATATTTTCTCAGAGGCCAGAAAGTACAAGTTCTGCTGGTACAGCAGAAAAGGTGTCAAAAGACTTCCATGTAGTGATCCCTTAGGATTTTTACTTTCTCTATTTTCATGCATCTGTATACTTGTACTTCCCTAGCACAGTACTAAAAACTACCGTTCTCTCATCTTTAGACAAAATAATCCCTCTCTGAGCCTGAATCCAAGGACACCTCAGTGCCTCAGAGCCCCAAAACTGGAAACAACAGAGAATTGGGGGAGCAAGTTTGGGATGGTTGACATCACCACCTAAAAGTATCATTAGAGAATTAAGACCCAATATGGTAATAAGGCATAACTTTTAAAAGGTGAACATCTTGTGACTCAGGGTCCATTTTTGGGTGTGCCCTCAGGAGAAGACTTTTGTCTGCCCTAATGTATCAGTAGGTCTGTTAGGCCTGGATTAAAGTTGTGTATTCTCATTCTCTTAAGTTTGGCTGGCCTCTCTTTCAGATTAGCCTGATTGATAAGTGTCATGGTTTTACTTGGTCCGATTTTTGGTGGTGGKGGGATGGGACAAAGAAACCACAAAGATGGCTCCTAGGAGGAAGTTCTAGAAGCTTTCTCCTTCTTCTCCAGCAAAAGGAGCCCTACCCTCTGTGTTTTAGAGCCAATCCATTRTGGCTCTTAGGTTGATGGACAGGCTGCCCATCAGGCCTGGGCCAAWTGCACAGGTTGGTTACACCTCTGTGATGATATATTATCTTGTACTTAAGAAGAATTCAAAACAAGATAGGGGTGGCCGCCATGTAGTTTTAGGTTGTTAGTATTCAGTTTTAGTATCATGCACTGGGGAAAAACAGAGCAGGAGGGTGAGGAGATGTAAGAAGAAAAAATGGAGACCCAAGATCATAGTAGGAGAAGATGGGACGGGTTGCTGTGCTGTTGCTGTGGTTCTCGGACATGGAGAAAATAAGTTGTTCTCAAAAGGACTATTTCATCAATGAGAGACCTGTATAGAAAAGGAGAGCGACCTTGCTCTGAGGAAAAAAAACCCTGGCCTTTGAGGACTGGACTGAACTGATCAGGAGCCAAAAAGGGTGAAGAGGCTTGGCCCCCACGACGTTTGAAGCAAGTTGATGCTGAGAAGAAAATGTGCTCTGTGGGGAGGGAGAGATGTCCCCGCCCTACGTCTGAACTAAGTGAATGCTTAGAAGAAGTTGTGTTCTGCCAGATCTGTGATAGTGGTCTTACGCTGCCAAAACAACACAGTTTGGCCTTGAAGAACATACTTTCCTTTCTCCTGCRACATAAAGAAAATACTCCCTTGSCACCAGAAGTTATACACTGGCTGTTTCTTGGGAAAAAAACTTCCACAGCTTGGAGCTGTAAAAACGCTTCTCCTATGATGCTGGACAATAACCGTAATGAGTAGTTTGATCTATGTTAGACTTTCATTCCTGTCCCCTGTGTGTGCGGGAAGACATGGGGGGTGGAGAGGGAGGACCTGGGAAAGAGACGGGTCCTGGAAAGGATAACAGGTGTCTTAAAATATCCGTTTTTATTTTTCTTCTCCTTGTAAATTTTCCCTATCTTTGTTCCCCTCCCCGGTGCAGTAGTATTCTCAGTAGTTTGTAGTAATAAATCTATTTTGCAACTTAAGTTATTCAGCCTGTCTGACCATTTTCTGGAGCATATATATATCTTTCTCTCAATTATGTTATGTTATCTGAAAGCCATAAATTTTCGTGTTAATTGGGCTTTTGCTCTCCCTTCTCCCTCTCCAGTGGGGGAAGGGAGAGAACTTCGTGGGTACGGTGCTTTTGGCTTTCAGCACAGTCCAAACCACRACATTTTTGGTGCCGTGACTCAGATTGGGAAAAATCAGGTTTAAACCCACGACAGTAAGGCATCAGTAGAAAGGGATAATTTTGTACCTTTATTATTATTCATTGTAGGAAAGAACTGGTAAAAAAGCAGAGTGCCTAGGTAACGGAAACATAAATCAGACATTGCTCTATCCCAATATTTCATATCCTGACAGTAAAAGGAGCAGTACCCCAGGTCCACAGCCACACACGGTAGAGGACAACACAAAACCAAAAAGGTTTAACTCTGTAAAATATTGGAAACAAAAACCTAACTTCATTTCAATATGCCTTAACCTTCATGAAATTTTTGTGGGCACTAGAAGGGAATGGTAAAATAGTTGTGCATGTTTAACTGGATCTCTACAATTCTCAGAGAATTCATGACTCATTCTCAAAAGTGAGAATAAATAGGAGAAATAAGGCAATTATTTTTAAATATAGGTCACGGATATTAGTTCTGAGAACAGACTTTTTCTCCCAAGGAATGGAGCAAAACAGTAATCTAAGATAAATCTGATCCAATAAATCTGATCTGATTTAATGTACTAAAACATGAAGATTAATTTCAAGTGTCATACCTTTTTCCAGGCAATATCTAAAGCTTCTTTTTTCTTCTGGTCAAGCTCTTCAATAACTGCAAGAATTTTTGTCTTGTCATTCTCTACAATTCTTTTTTTCTTCATTAAGTCATTGTACTGGTGCAATGAGAAGAAAAGATTGATTTCAATGAACTTTTTGCTCAAATACATTTTCTGCTAATCTTACAGCTTCACTGTATCCCTTTGTAGCTACAAAATAGTCATTAATCACAAGATTAAAAACAAATGCATTCATTTAGATGCATTAAGGATCTAAATTTTGGATTATTTGCAAATTAAAGCATAAGAAGTTTCAACAACCAGCAAACAGGAGGGACAATATTGCTCTGAAAGTTGCCCTTCCCATTTAGTGATATTTCATTTGCTTTTCCATAGAAGAAAGGAAACTTCTGGAGGCTGATAGCAGGAAACAGTACTAGAAAAGTTGAAGCGTAAAATCAGTGGGCAGTTTTGAGATAATCCTGGAACAACCTGAAGATACAGATTAGTTCAAGACAAGCCTGCTACACCTTCTAGCTGTCATGCTTGAAGATGAGTATTTCTTTGATCTGAAGCTTATAATACAGTATACACTTCTCAGATTCTCTGATGCATGCCACAAAGCTTGCAAATGCTTCAATTCAGATAGACTGGGGTAGCAAGGTATAAAATATTTTTTACCATCCAAAGTCATGATTATTAGTAACCTAGAAAATTGGTGTGCCAATGAACAGTTCAAAGACATAAGATTAGTATGAAAGAACCAGCAAAATGTTCCCTGCTATCTCATGAAGGTTTAGATTTATTTTTGGTGTATTGAGAAACAGAGCGTATGAAAACATTAAGCAACATTATATATGTACGTATATATATATTATATATCCCATGTGACCAGACTGCCCAATCTTTATAGGTTAAAACACAGAATATTTACCCTCTCCTCTGTGTCAGAAAGCATGTTCATAGCTCTGGTGTTCACATTCCTTCCCAACTTCTCTTTACGCTCCTGCAATTTCTGCAGCTTCTGACTTGCTTCTTTAGGACAGTTACTTTTAAAATCATAGGCTGTGTTTGGCTGACCAAAGAGTTGTTTCTCTGAAGCTATCCACTTGTAGTCTTTCAGCATTTTGGCCACCTGTAAACAAAAGGATATGTTGAGGCTTTCTCCTCACCCTTCTCAAATGTGAACTAAAAATAAAAAAACAAAACCACAAACCACCCCCTATCTACATTTTGAAACTACCACATAAATTCTTCTACCCTAACGCAGCACAGGTAGATATTTTTATAATGCTTTGTGTGATTTCCTTGACTGTGGACAAACCAGGATTTTAAGGTTGCTTTCATATCTGTCTTACTTACTTGAAACACTCTTTTTCAACATCTGGATTATACCAATATCACTAAATCTTAGAATTACCTTCATTAATTAGTTATCTAATTTGTCCATACCATTGGAATGTTCTTACTGATGTCTTTCTCACTGTGATCTACCCTCCTTTACTCCATACAGATAAGCTTTTTTACAATGTACAATTTCCATTCCCTCTTCCTCAGATAAAACTTTTCACATTGAGAGCTGCAAATATGACAGTGCCTAAGGAAAAAAATGCTATTTCCTTTGGACGTGGCAAGGGAAACAACCATTCTTGGTCAGAAGATGTGAAGAAAAGCAGTTTTGAAATACCTTGGCAGCAGCATCAGCAGCATCTTGTTGACATTTGGTGATGTTGTATTCTAATTCTTTAACTTTAAGTTGTAATTCATTTTTTTGTTCTCTGTATTTTACTATCTCTGCAGTTTTTTCTTTAATTGCATTATCATGTAACGCAATTACTTCCTTTTGCTTGGCAAGCTCCTTCTGTGACCTCTCCACAGATTCCTGAAAAAGCCAATCAGCAGACATTTACTGGTCTCTTTTAGAGCTGGCATTAGACCCTTATTAGAAAAGACACAGCAAGGAGAAAAAATTCACATGTGAAAGCAAAACAAAAACAAAAACAAAAACAACAACAAAAAAATAATAATAAAAAAACCCCTAAAAACCGCTACCTAGGTTGATTGAGTGTGTTAAGCAAGTCTGTACAATAAAATACATTATGATTTCCGGGTATGTGAGGTTCAGAAGATCACACAGACTAACATCAAAATGGACAATGAAACACAGTATTCGCTTTTACCTCTGTCTTAGCCACTTCAGCCACCATAGCATCAATTTGCTCCTGATAGGATTTGATTGCTTCTTCTGCAGCTGCTATCTGTTGTTTGTAGGAGGCCTGTTCTTGTTTCAGCTCTTCAAGTTCCAGAACTAAAGCTTCGACTTCCTAGAGAGATTTTTCCAATTTATTACTTATACTTAAATGGAAATAATTAAGATTCAGTTTGATGAAATAAATGCTGTAGAAGATTAAGACCCATTCTTGAGAAAGAGCACAATCTCACAAAAACAAAGAAAGGAACAAACAAAAAACCTCCGTCAATGACTATGTCAGTGACTACAGAGTAATCTATTAAGTCCAAAAACTGAGAGCATTAAAACCTCAGGAGAATCAAACTTCCTGATTTTTGCAGCCACTTTTAACATTGGGAAAACTGTCAACAGAGGTGAAATTTTACCTGCTGCATATCTTTTATTTTTTTGCTTGAAGCGTCTGCCTTTTTCTTGGCATCATCTAGCTTTTGCTCCGCATTTTTTCGTTCTTTTAGACCTTCTGCTTCTGCATTTTTAATCTTATTCTCCAATTCCCTGTATTTTGCTTCTGCTTTCTTTTTGCTCTCTTCAGTTTTGTTTAATGTGTCTTCACACTCCGCTGCATCGAGAAATAGAGTACAGAGATTGGGCATTGTTCTCATCTTTAAATTTACATCCTAAACCCCAACTGAAATAAATCCCTCTTTGCCTCCAACAGAAGTGGTTGTACACTCATTGGTTCCTGAAGTCAGATGTTTCAATGATTACCCTAAGACAGTGTGCAGTTTTTATCAGTTATTGGTAGGGAATTGGACATTACTAAAATACGATTTTTTTTTCCCTCAGGTTAAGAATATATCAAGTCTCATGACCAACAAGTAGTTAATCGGACAGCTACCCAATAAGATAGCACCTCATCTCTAGAGTACTAGATATGTATCACTTCTGCCCATTTTTTTCTTTAGATGTTTTACTTGTTGCTTTTGTGCATTTATGTCTTTCCTTAGCTATATGAACACTACTTCTTTCCAATGCTATCTTGTCATGCAAACTGTATTGCTAGCATTAAATATCTACAGCTTAAAAAAGTAAAGATTACTCAATATGGGATTAAATAAATTTAACTTCCCTGCAAAAATGTATTTTCCTTTATTGTAAAGTATATAAAACATTTAATAATAGTATAAGCTTTACTATAAGAGAATAATCAACTTTAAGTGAACCACCTCTATGAAAGCATACTGTGATTCTGCATTATTTACATATTCCAAAATATAAAGGTAGTATTTCCAAAGCCAAAAGTAGTTYTTTCTTAAATAAAGATTCTGCTACTCCAATAGCCTGATACCCATCTCATCTTCAGCAATTAGTTTTCAGTTACTAGAGTAAGAACACATTTGTCACCAATGGTTTTCTTCAGGGCAAGCAGCTCTTCCTCTTGTTTGTGATAAGCACTTTGATGAAGCTTCTTGTGCAACAGCTCTGCTTCCTCAGACTTCATCTCCCATTGCTGCTTCAGTTGCTGGTACCTTTGGAAACAGTAGTGACACAAACTGCTGTAGGGAAGAGTACCTAACATCTGCCTTTCAGAGCTGAAGTAAGTAGATAAATACCTATATTCCCTTTCTCTCGTTATGACTGTATAGCAAATAAGCTGAAGTGAATGAAAACCTGAAATTATTGCTTTAATTATAATTGTGAGGTTTGTAGGTATGTAAGTTATTATAGTGTATCTCCAGCTACTTAGCCCTGATTTGCCATACTGAAAACAAATGCAACACACAAAAATTGGCAACCATTCAAAGATCACTTTTTTATCAACAGGTAACATGACAGATGCTAGGCTGAAGAATTAAACAAAAGATATCTAAAAGCAAAAGTTCCTTCCTCCTCTTGGCTATATTTCTGGAAGTTACTGCAGCTCCAAACAATTTGAAAGAATAAATCCAGTTGGTAGGTAGCACACTATGCAAAAATCCTTATGGCATTTTTGCAGAACTGACTGAATGTTTTTCTATTCTATCTTTTAAAAAGGTATTCAGTAATTGAGTAGCTGAAAAATAAATATACTTAAAATTACTTAAATTAAATCCTTACAGTAGTATAACTCAGATACTCCTTTTTAACATCTTTATATTTTCTTGTGAGAAAAATAAGAGTGACCACAAATTGGAATTCTGTACAGGTGTTAAAAATATGTCTGGAACACATCCATTCTTTGGTGGACTTCATGAAACTTCAACCAATTTCAAGTAGATATTAATGTGTACCCTTTTTTTTTCTTGTCCTGGTTTCACTTGGTCCGATTTTTGGTGGTGGGGGGGATGGGACAAAGAAACCACAAAGATGGCTCCTAGGAGGAAGTTCTAGAAGCTTTCTCCTTCTTCTCCAGCAAAAGGAGCCCTACCCCCTGTGTTTTAGAGCCAATCCATTRTGGCTCTGAGGTTGATGGACAGGCTGCCCATCAGACCTGGGCCAATTGCACAGGTTGGTTACACCTCTGTGATGATATATTGTCTTGTACTTAAGAATTCAAAACAAGATAGGGGTGGCCGCCATGTAGTTTTTAGGTTGTTAGTATTTAGTTTTAGTATCATGCACTGGGGAAAAACAGAGCAGGAGGGTGAGTAGAGGCAAGAAAAAAAAAATGGAGAGCCAAGATCACAGTAAGGAGAAGATGGGATGGGTTGCTGTGCTCTTGCTGTGGTTCTTGAGTATGGAGAAAATAAGCTGTTCTCAAAAGGACTATTTCATCAATGAGAGACCTGTATAGAAAAGGAGAGCGACCTTGCTCTGAGGAAAAAAACCTGGCCTTTGAGGACTGGACTGAACTGATTAGAAGCCAAAAAAGGAGGAAGAGACCTGGCTCCCCCTCACATCTGAAGCAAGTCGATGCGAAGAAGAAACTGTGATCTGCGGGGAGGAAGAGCTGCCCTCCACCCTACATCTGAAGTAAGTGGATGCTTAGAAGAAGTTGTATTTTGCTAGATTTGTGATAGTGGTCTTATGCTGCCAAAACAACACAGTTTGGCCTTGAAGAACATTTTTTCCTTTCTCCTACGAGGTAAAGAAAAGAATCCCATGCCAGCAGCAGTTATACACTGACTGTTTCTTGGGAAAAGACCTTCCACAGCTTGGAGCTGTAAGACCGCTTCTCCTATGATGCTGGATGACAACCTTAATAAGTAGTTTGATGTATGTTACACTTTCATTCCTGTCCCCTGTGTGTGCTGGAGTACACGGGGGGGGTCGAGAGGGACAACCTGAGAGAGAGACGGGTTTCCAGAAAGCATTAACAGGTGTCTTAAAATGTCTGTTTTTATTTTTTCTTCTCCTCGTAAATTTTTCCCTATCTTTGTTCCTCTCCCCGGTGCAGTAGTATTCTTAGTAGCTTTTAGTAATAGCTTAGTAGCTTTTTGCAACTTAAGTTATTCAGCCTGTCTGGCCATTTTCTGGGGCATATACCTATCTTTCTCTCAATTATGTTATGTTATCTAAAAGCCATTAATTTTAGTGTTAATTGGGCTTTTTGCTCTCCCTTCTGTCTCTCGGGTGGAGGGGAGGGAATGTCGTGGGTGCTGTGCTTTTGGCTTTCGGTCAAGTTCAAACCACAACATCTCTGTACTATCCAAACCAAATATTTTTGAATGTGTTATATAAAAAAAACTGAATTTGCTTTTTGATTGCTGAATTTACTAACTAAATTGGGAGGAGAGGGAGGAAGGGAATTATTTTCTGCATATTAGATTCCCAAAAGGCCCTATGGCCTCCCAAAACCACTCATTACGTTAAATTTACTCAGTTGTGTTAAGAGAAATGATACACATTTACTCAGTTGTGTTAAGAGAAATGATACACATTGTATAGTGAAAACCTTACTTTTCAGCAACCTTCTTCAAGCTTGCCAACTCCTTCTCTACAGCTGCAAGTTCAGATTCCTTTGTCTTGAGTTCTACTTCAACATTTTTGATTTCCTGAAGTTTAGACAATATTGGTGCAGCCTGTGACGATGCACCTGTTCAATGAAAAATAAAAAGAAGCCAGGCTAATTGGAAATAGATCAGTGAATTCACCACTGGTAATTTCAAATTCTAAACATTAATAATGATGCAGTATGATGATTTATTTTAGCTGAAAAACAGATAAGACAACTAGGTTGAAGTTAAGAGCTCTCAGTGGAGAAAGACTACCTTCTCTGTTACAGAATTTAGTTCTTTAGRCTTTGAATACTACACATGCATGCCTTGTGCAAACAATTAACCTTTAAATCAAATTTATGAAATTATCACAAATCAATGATGAATTACTTCAAAAAGGGCTTGAATTCAAAGCAGTTCTGCTTCCAAGAGAATTATAGATAGATAATGAAATTATAATTATAGTTAGATAATGAAAGGAATGAGAAAGGAGTGCCATTACAGACTAACTCTGGGGGTAAGATAAGGATGATACTGGGAGATAGAACCTCAACCAATGGGGAAAGAGAGAGGGAACTGTTGCTGGGAAACTGGGATAAAAAGAGGCTGCATCCTCTATGAATTTGAGAGACCCCATGTGAAATGCCCATGACCTCTCCCTTTATATAAAGTTGCAGGACTCCTCTGTCTCCTCTTCGGACATAAAYCTGTGGTGCTGGTGGATTAATTTTCCTAACAGATAAAATTTAAATATTTAAAATATAAGTTACTTCATGCTAAGTTTATCATTAATATTTTCTTAAACTAACTAATATTATTTTAGTTCAAACAGATTATTACAGTATGTGTGTAAACAAAAAGGTTACTGTTCATTTGTTAAAAAAACATGCAAGAGCAGTAAACATATCAAAGGACACACAATATTATTTTATGAATAGAACCAGCAATTACCTCCATGCAGAGTGCCCTGGGGATCAAACACATCTCCATCAAGAGTAACACTTCTCGTCATTATCCTTTTGTCAAAAGTCACTTTCTTAGCAATATCCATGTTATTACAGACCAGTGTTATTCCAAAGACATATTCCATTGCTTTTTGCAGTTCAGATTCGTATTCAATTAGAAAAAGGGCTAAGTGCAAGTTACCCTTGCCAGCCTAGAAATCAAATTAAACACAATGTGCCTTAGTTAGTAGGAAATCTATGACTTAAGTTAGAAAGAATAGTTAAAATCTAATTTCTGTCTTTTATTGTTGAAGTAAATCAACAAAACACTTTCTAAAAACTCTTTCTAAAAGTGTCATTACATTTAAAAACTATTTCAGTTAAAATATGTTGTGGGTTAAGGTTTCTCCTTTTGTTTCCTTTCTTGGGGAATTTTTCTTTCCCATTTTGTTGCTGGGATACACTGATTGCCAGGTCATCCTTTTGATGGATGGGCGATTAGTAAAGACAATAAGACCTACAGCCCCACCCAAATGATCTTGCTGAGCACTGGGAGGGGGTGTGTGTGGGTGTGGCCGGGGGTAACTTCTCTTCCTGCTCTGCTTGGCTCAGAGGAGGAAGGTCAACCTGCTACCTGCGGAGGAGAGCTCGCCTGCTCTTTTCAGCAGAGCCCAGCATCTCCACTTGTTGGTTCCTGTTTTGCTGCACTGTGATCTTCTGCCCCTGCCCCTTGCCTGGGACCCCTGAGATTCACGCTGCAGTGGTTGAGTTCTGCTGCATTCCGTCTCACAGCCGCAGGATTCTGCTCGTCTCTTTGCTCATCTGCCCGTTCTGGGGTTTCTTGCTGTCCAGAGGAGCACCGAGATCGGCATTTCCGCTGTGAGGTTGCAGAAGAACTTTTCTCCGTCTATCTCTGCCGGTTTGTGTCCGCCATTGGCCACTGGGAGATCTGAATCAGTCGGGACCCGCGCCACAGCGCCCCCTGCAGCTGCCGGGGAATCATCGCACCCACCCTGCCCGGCCAGGAGCCAACAGCGCCCCTGCCGGCTGGGACTGTAACTGCACCAAAGGGGAGGMTGTGTCTCTGTAAGGCTGTCACTGGGTTTGTGGCTGGGCTGGTTGTTGCTATCATTGTTGTTACTTGTTTCACTTTTTTATACATATTAGTAAAAACTGTTACTCCCTTTTAGCCATATTCTTGCCTGAAAGCCTGTGATTTTCAAAGCTATAATAATTCAGAGAGAAAGGGGGGGTCATATCCATCATTCCAAGGGGGGTCCCTGCCTTCMTTGACCTGTCGTTCAAACCAAGACAGAGTAGAATAATTAATACCCATTTAAATCTCACATAACTGAAAGGATACAAAGGAAAACAAAATCAATATACCTTCAAACTTTATAGAAATTCATGTTAGTAATAACCATTAAGAACTCCAAGTTTTAGTACAGAAACAAAGTGAAAATGCGACAGAATATAGTGTAAATCATGTATTTATTTACATACCAAGCTTTGGGCCAATTTGACTGTGTCTTCTTGAACACACCTGGCTGAAATTTTGTTTAATGGAATGATGGTGTATCGATGCTTTAGTTCACCATTTTCTAAAAGCTTTTTGGCAGTAACCTCAAATGAAAAACAGTTACAAAGCATACTTGAGTACACAACTGATTTTGTAAAGTGAGACAACAGGGCATTAGAAGAACATATTGTTGCCACCAACTATGCACGACTCCCTTGACACAGCCCAGTACCTGAGTCCAAATCCCTCTCAAGCAGTCAGTAACAAGGCACATGCTTGTCAACCCCGAATCATACGACCACATCTCAAAATTCAGAGTCCTAAAGCAATAAACTTACCTCTGTGTCCACAATAATGTTATAAAGTTTCCCACCAGCTACAGCTTCAAGGGCTTTTGCTTTGGCTAGATCTTTCACAGTGAAAAGAGACACTACAGGGCCTTTCACATGGTTTGGATCCCAATTTTTTTCAGGATGCCTTAAAAAGAATACAAATTATGCCTATGAACCATATTTGTTTTTCTCCCATATACCTTAAAAGAAATTATGTTTAAAACTCATGATGCCTATTATTCTGGAATAAACAATTCTAAATTCTATCAGGAAAATAACCCCACATAGGAAACAGTTAAATACCTCACAGAATGGATTTGCCAATAGAGATCAGTTACACAGTCATTAAAAGAATCATTCCTGATTTTAGTATGATTTATTCGCACAATTTTCAGTTGATTTTTCCAGTGGGTTTTATTATTGCTACAGCTATAGGAGTATGTTTAGCCTGTTACACAAGTCATTAAACCTGGGGATACTGATAGTTGACTGGTAGAGCTAGATATAGAGTTGACCTCCAAAGAGCAAGTCTACTTGTGTCCACAGGCAGGAAACAATGATTACATATTTTGGAGTTTAGACCTTTGAGTTCTGTGGCTTTAGCTACTGAAGTTATGACTCGAAAATGTCATCACAAAAAAAACTTTAAAATTCTAAGGCTTTGTAAGACTGTAACATTTCCTGACTTCCTCCTCACCCTTCCATTTCATTTCACCGCACAGGTAAGACAGTCATTATTCACTGGCACTAAGAGGAAAGCAAGAGCTTGGACATTGCTGGAATTTTCTGGTAAAAGGCCCCCAAAAGCTTTTCAAATGTCTTTCAGGATCACACTAAGATCTTACTTGTATGTAAATTGTAGATGAGGAAACTTTGCCATTAAACTTTCACTCAATTCTCTCAGTCGGCTGATTTCAGAAGTCAATGCCTTCTTTTTTGCTAGGAGGGCTTCTCCTTTTTCTTCTTCAGAGTTGAACACAAGCAGTAGACATAAATCCAGAGCAGTGAAATCTATTAGCTTAAAAATTGGTATCCTACACTGTTTATCTACATACATGTAGAGAATACTTACTCAGAAGACTTTCTACAATTCTTTGTAAATTTTAGACTAAAACAATTAATATCATCATGACACCAAAAAAGCAAAGAAAATGTTTAAAGTGCAATGTGCTTCTCTAAAGGTTATTCCGGAATATCAGTTAACAGTTTTGAGCTGCATCTGAAACAAATGTTAGCATGAAACAAACTCTAAGAAGTGTTTTAAGTACAAAAAATCAGTAAGCAATAGGGAAGTCAGTCACTTTTTCCATTTAAATTTTAGCGGGAATTTAATTTTGCCATCAAAATTCAAAACACTTTGCCAAAAATTTATAGAAATAAAATTATTTTAGGCTCTTTTCTGTGGAAGTTTCAGAGTTTGCAGAGCTTAGACCAGAGAAACTTCTTAATGTGTGAAAGCACACTTGATTCCTCATTTCCCTCCTTCACTGGGTGTGGGTGAGATGGAGTTTACATCCCGCACAGCAGCCCTCACAGTGCTGATCTTTGTGTTTCTAGTAGGAAGGCATAGATGTAACAGTTTTTGCTACTGCTGAGCATGCTGGCACAGCACCAAGGTTGCCCTCCAGTGCCTCTTCCAAAAGCCAGCAGGCTGTGGGTAGGCAATAGATTAGGAGGGGACATAGCCAGGATAAGGGGTCCAAGGGATATTCCATACTGTTACGAAGGTATGCTCAGCAGTAAAAGCTAAGGAAGTGGGGAGCGGAAGGAGCATACATTACTAAGGCCTTTCACTTTCAAAACATGCCTTTATGCATAATGAGGTCCTACTTCACAGGAAGTGTCTGAACCTTGCCTCCTGATTCTTGATGGGTAGCAGAGTGTAAATTATTTTGCTTGCCTTTGCTTCTGCATCTTCCAGCCTGCTTCAAGACAGACTCACCACTGGCCAAGCCCAAGACTCATGGTGAAGCTTGTGATAGAAGCATATGATAAAAGGGGGGAAAAAAAGCCAAACCTATCTGCAGTGGCAGCAGATAGGAATGAGAACATGTGAAAGGAACAGCAGACACCAAGGCCAGTGAAAGACAGGGAGGAGGTGCTCGAAACATCACAGCTGAGATTCCCCTGCAGCCTGTAGTTCGGACCATGCTGAGGGGGCTGTGCTCTGCAGCCCATGGAGGTCCACAGTGCAGTAGATACACACTGCAGCCTGGGGAAGCCCASATTGGAGCAGGGTCCTGGCAGGACCTGTAGACCCATGGACAGAGGAGCCCATGCCAGACCAGGTTTGCTGGCATGACGTGTGACTCCCCAGGGGATCCAGACTGGAACAGCCTGTTCCTGAAGGACTGCACCCCATAAGAGGGATCCATGCTGGAGCAGTCTGTGAAAAACTGCAGTCCATGGGAAGCATTTACACTGGAGAAGTTCATGGGAGACTGTCACCCTTTGGAGGAACCCCAGAGTGGAGCAGGGAAAAGGTGAGAGTCCTGTGAGGAAGGGTAGCATAGACAATGTGTGAGGAACTGACTGCAGCCCCCATTTTCTGTCCCCCTGCACCACTCACAGAGAAGAGGTACAGAAAATCAGGAACGAAACAAAGCCTGGGAAATTAAGTTAAATTGACTTCCCCAAGTCAAGTCTATTTTGCCATGGCAGTAATTGCTGAGTGATCTCTCCCTGTCCTTATCTCAACCCAYGAGTCTTTTGCCATGTATCCTCTCCCTCTGTCTAGCTGAGAAGGGGTGTGATAGAATGGCTCTGCTGGACACTTGGTATCATCAGGGTCAGCTCTATACTCCTTTGTAGATTTCTCCAAAATTACGCATCRTATGTCTGTACAGACCTGAATAGTTCAGCTCCTTTATTTGGTTCTCTAGGGTTATTTTCATTTTTTCAACAGCTTCAAATGCTTTTCGGTCTTTCTTGTAGCCTTCATCCATCTTTTTAACTTCAGCTTCTTTTGTCTTTAATTCTTTTTGTGCATAATTCAACTTCATTTGAGCCTGTAAAGGGTAAGCAAATACAGAACCAGGTCATCAAAGACAATCTTGCAGGTACAGATTTAGAACACTTGCACTATCAAGCTGCCCATGTAATTTATAAAATTTTCCATTGGTTGCAGATACGACAATAAGCAGCCTTGGCTTTTGAAAATAATGGCACAGATTGTTTGAACAGCATCATAGATCTTGTACTTAGCTGTGATAAAATATTAGCACATGAATAGAGTCTAAGAGGAAACAAAGCAAAATAATGTTGAATACACCCATCCTTGTTACTTTACTGAGAATAATTTCTCCGAAAGTGAGACAAGGAAAGTGAACTTTGAAAATTTAAACTCCATTATCAGAACTACTCCAGCTGAGTTTCCTATCTTAAGACAAAACATCTCTTTCAGTTGTGTAATGAGCACACAATTTAACTAAGGAGAAAATAGTTTCTTCTAAACTCTCCATTTCACAATCCCAGGCATTTTTATTTTGATTCCATTAAGTTTTACTGTAGAAATCTCTTAGTTTGATTGTGATTGCAGACATCAGTCCTAATTCTTTCCTATTCAATACTACCAATCATTTGAGTACAGTGAGTCCTACTTTATATCTCAAATATCAATTTTTCTACTTCCTCGAAGCAATGTTACAAGCATTTTTCTATGCAAGGATATTTTGTTTGTGTTTTATCAAAAAGTTAGCTTAATGCATATGCCAAAATGTAAAATATCTTGCATAGCTACTTACACCTCTTTTCATTGATCTTTCAAGCATGTGTCAATTTGTTTTCAGACAATCTTCAAAAGCATGAAGGCAGATCGGAGACAGGCAGAGCTTTTTTCTTACCTGTTTAGCCTCTGTTGCTGCTTTGCCAATTTCATTTTTGCAAATCATCATCTGCCCTGAAAGAGTAGCTTCTTTACCATCTTTATTGCTGGATAGCCCAGCACACACAGCATTAAAGTGCTGTTGTGCTGCAGCTAAAGCATGTGCATCTTTTTCACCTTCTTCCTGTAAAACACTTAGTTCTTTCTCTAGCTTCTTTACTTCTTTCTCCTTTGACACTAAAGCTTTGGAATCCTTCAACAAAACAAAGTACAAAAATAAAAAAACTGAAGAAAAAACTGGAGTCCGTTACCTTGAAATTCATGTTGAAATGAGGAACTACAAGTAGTTCCATAAACTACATTTCAACGACCCTTTGTCAGATTTTGTGATCTTGCAATATGTCTTTGAATGTTTCCAAATGTGTTACTTGCCCCATGGGTGCACTAAATATCTACAGACAGGTGAAATACAGAAAGTGGTAACAACTACCCAAGAACTAGAATTATCTCTTTCGTCCCAATACCTAAAAAGTGATCCTCTTGCATAAAAAACATCAACTGTCCAAAATATGCAAGGCAGTGATTTCTCATTTAAGAGTCACTTATGTCCAGAGACCACAATAGTTTGAAACTACAGGGATCTCTGCTGAGCTTAATTGAGAACTGGGAGTTGCACTCTCTTTGTATTTGTACATGTCTGTTTCTAATGGGAACCTACTACCTATGCTGCACAAATTAAGTAGTTCCCTTCATGTTTGTCTCTACTTTCCTGATTAATTCTTGACAATCGTTGGATTCTTTCCACCATAATAGGAAAGAAAAAACAGCTGTTCCTACAATCTGAATTAATTTGGTATGTAAAAAAAAGTACATACAAATATCTTACCTTCTGCATACGTGTTACCAATTCATTGCACTTAACCTCTTCACTTTTTAAGTTTTGCTTCTTGAGATCTAGGGCACTTAGTGCTTTTGTGTTAATCCTTTGATTTTCTGAAAGAGCAGCTTCCAGAGCACGGAGTTTACCACCAACTTCCTATAATCAGTAATAAAGGAAATTTAATTTAGCCTCTGGAACCAATACAGTATTTGTAATATGACATTTTCTGTTCACAGCTTCATGTAGAAGGAAATCTGACCAAGCAGGCAGTAGTCCCCAATACAAACAGGTCAGAACATTTCTTCCCTCTGAAATCCAACCTAACTTGAAGCTGCTATTGAAGAACCACAGCATTCCATAACATGGGACACTGTCCCTATATATAGAAGGTGGATTTTGACACCCAAAGACTCTATGGGCCATTCTGTATCTAATAAAATTTACTGCCTCCAAAAGTGAAGTCAATACTGATTACTGTCAAACAAAAGCTTGCTTACTTTCCTCTTCTTTTGAGACATCAACAATAAGGGAGAAAAAAAGTCTCTGGCAAAACTTATCATTGAATGTACAGAGTAGAAACATGAGGGCAAACACTTTCTATGTTTCAGTTATTCTTATTGGGTTGCTGATATTTTTCATTTGTATTTCAGATAAAAAAAATCCCCTTCAAATGGATATCTTCTATGGCCAAAACCAAAAATAAGCAGTGCATAATCAAAGCAACCCAGCAGAATATAAAAATTCAAGGGGAAATTACCTGTAAAAAAATTCCTGTGTTGTAAAATTCTTTTGTATTGAGGTATTCAGATGAGAACAACCCTGTCCTCACTTACCTTATCCTTCTTCTTTTCCATCTCTCCTATGTCTTCATTAAATTGCCTCATTTTCTGTTCAATTTCAGCCATACAGTCCTGAAACTTCTGTATATTAGACTGCATTTCCTTTAACGTCTCAACAGAGGATTCCTTTGTTTGTTCAGCAAGAACAAACTGATAAGCTATACAAAMGCAGCTTAAATGTTCAATTTCTCGTACTAATTTTTGGTATTCCAGATAGGATGCTCGCTCCTGAACAGAAAAAAAAAATAAATTATTTTTTTAAAAAAGCTCTAAAATTTGATGACAAAACAGTGTAAGACTGTTATAGAAATCTTCTAAGTATCTCCAAATATCAGTATTAGTAAGTAAGAGGAAGGATTCTACATGTTATGCAGTATACTTCGTATTGCACATTGCAGACCTGCTCAGAAAAATTTTAGCTAAGACTAATACTCATACTGTTGATCGTACAGCAGAAATATCATTTGACTTAGTTTCTTTAAGAACTAAGAAACATTTTTATCTATKTTTATATAGTTCTCATTTTCTTCCTTTTCTCAACACCTCTCTCTAAGATTTCCTTAAAGTCCAAATTGTCACATTCTTGTATTTTGAAAGATGGTAAAATTTCTCTTTGACAATCTACAGAGCTTGAAAACATGCTTTTGTTTTAGCCAAAACATAAGATTCAGGGCTGTTGAAAGTATATTTTCAGTACTTGAAGGGCCTTACTTTACCACCAGTCTTATTTTTCCATACCTGTTTCAGTTTCTCTAAAGTTGGATTGATCTCCTCATTTAAGACCTGAAACACATAATGGAACACTCATATTCTGATTTTACTGAACTCTAAAGCTGAAACATGTCTAGGAAAGGATATCTAATTCCAGGTGCAGAAACAAAATATTTTACAAGTCAAAATCAACACTAAACTAGTTACTCAGTTATCTTTAACAAATATGAAAGAAAGTGTACTTTCCAATATATAGTACCATTTGAATGGTTTTCAGTTTGGATTCCTTCTTCTCTATGGTTTTCTGGACAGCTATTTTCTTGGACTCATACATCCTAGTACCAGCGGCTTCTTCAATCATAGCTAAAATCTATAAAGCAATGCAAAAAAAATTTGATATTTCTTCTTACGCTAGATTGATTTGACTCAGCTGAACATTTCACCTCCCACCAACACCTTCATTTTTGTTGTCCCCCTCCCAAAATAGAGATTCTTATTATTCAAATCAGTTCAATAAAACTTCAGACAAAAAAACTCCCACAACTTTCCTACCTCTGGCGGCTTCATATTTAGAACTTTGGTAATTTGTCCCTGGTGATAGAAAGATAAAACAAGAACAAGTGGTTGTGTACCATGCAGTAGCAAAAGGAAAATCAGAAACCCTGAACCCCCATTTAGTTTAATATATTGTATTTTTAAGTTCAAGCATTTTTTAAAAAAAAAATATTGAGTTTACTCAATTGTTTTGCTCTTCACAGGTCAAATAAATCACTCTTTCAGGTATCAGGCCCTTACATTGTATCTTAGGCTCATCCTCCACAGTCCTGATTACATCGTAAAGGAGCAATGCAAACATTTTGTTCTAGATCCTTACTGGGTTGCTGATGTCAAATAAGCTCCTAATCATAAAGTAGCTTTTTGGGTAATATGGCTCATAAATAACAAGGGAAAAGTAAAAAATGTACAATACTGTCCCCACCTTTGCCATCAGCTTGGGACAGTTACATTTAAAACAGTAAGTCCTGTTCTGTTTTATCATTCCTTTCAAATATTTCAGGCATTTGCCTAGTCCCTTACAGAGTGTTCTCAATTTATGAGCCTTTTTTTGATGATAGTGATTAAAAAAGGCACATATCTCAACTTCATTTAAAATACTGTCTAACGTGGAACACAAATAATGGGAAATAAAATCTGTCATTTTAGCATAATAATAAAAGCAACACCTATCTGTCAAGGATGAAAAAAAAAACCAGAAAATCAAATGTGAACATGTTTTAGGAAAGTTTCCTAACACTGGGGCCACATGCGGTCTTGTGCTACAAGATGTATTTTAGAGTCAAACTATGCTCCGCTGGAAATCGTAACTACTTAATAAACTTCCTTTTTACTTGGAAAGATGTCAATCTAATTAGGAAATTGAGCATTCTCCCACTATTTCCCCTACCTTAAATTTACTGCAAGTTCCTATTCTTACTGGATTTTATAAAGATGCTCATGATACCTGCATAATGAGGAAGTAAGGATTATTGACATTGAGTCCAACAGAACAGAAGAGATCCTGCACACGACCGTTGGCAGCATAAACACCATTGATAAGGTATTTACTTCTACCTCCAATAACAACCTGAAGAACAAAGACAAATGCGAGGAAATTTAGGTGGTTTGAAAACTACTTGGTGTTGTGAGAATATAAACTGTAATAACAGAAAATTCAGCAAATCACACATACTAAATCTTTGTATAGGAACATATGTGCATACTAGGCAGACTTTAAAAATTAGCCTTTTCTTTTTCTTGACCAGTCACTCTGCTGAACATGGCAAAAATGTATATAGGTTATTAAGTGATACAGATATTAAAGACTCACCTGCCTAGTGACAGTGATCTCATCATTAGTTTCAAATCCCAGTGGACTTCTACTCTTGTCTGAATTATCAAAGTTAATAGACACGGTTGCCTTTGTAATTCCAGCTTGCCCATTTTTATAAACTAGATCTTGCAAGTTAGAAGCTCGCACCTAAGTCAATGAAACAGATAAATATTTTTTATGAAAGCAACTAATTTCACATTTTCATTGTATTTCTGTAGGTTTTGGAGAAGTGAATGAGAAAAAGATCTAGCCGCATATTTAATAGTTCATGTGAACTGACACATGGGAACTGCAAGGTGCTGTCACTGTAAAACCACAACCAATGTGTGTCAGTTTAGTTTTAGGTATCCAGCTAATTGTTTCTGCATGAGGCTCCTGACAAACACTGAACACATGTTCAAAAAAAGCCAGCCACTAGTAAATTTCTTCTTCACAATGCAAGTCACAGGGAAATTACTCAGAAGCTGCTCCTTGGAGGTCTGCTGGCTTTGTCTACAACTGGGAGGAAGGGGTGGGAAAGAAAGGAAATTTAAAAAGTCGCCTTCAGACAGAGATTAAAATTGATGCCAGAGAACACAGTTTTTTATGAAAATATAGCAGATATATTATCTCTTAAATAGCAGGCATTGCATGAAAACCACCTTAAAATTTTTTCTGATGAACCCAATAACCATATTTTAAGACCCAATCCAGAACTGAAAATATTAATTACAAAGAAGTAAATTAGTGCCTTTAGCTGCAGACCCTTGGCCTGAAGTTGCTACCTTTTAAGTGGTTCTTTTTAGTCTATTGTTTTAAGTCACGTACTTTGTGCAAATATAGTATATAAATGAAATTGTAACTCAGTCTTAAGAGAGAGCAAGAATGACAGAGACCCAGATTTATGCGATGAAAAATCCAAATAATAAAACTATTTATTTCAAAGAAGCACGACTTCAGGTCTGCCGTGGGAGATTACTTATTAGAGTAACATGAAACGTTGCTGACGGAAGGAAGACCTTTCTTAAATGTCTCCTCTTTCTTTACCTGTGACAGATTGCTGATTCCCAGCACGAAACAGATGGAGTCCAAGATATTGGATTTGCCACTACCATTCAAGCCAGTGATGGCATTGAATAACGGGTCAAAGCCATTAACTTCCGTCCTGTGAGCATAGGATTTAAAACCTTCAAGAACAATGGACTTGATGTACATTTCTTAGGGGTCCAGACAAATGTTCTTAGGGGTCCAGACAAAGTATTCCTCTGAGAACCCCTAAAAAGGGTATCTGGATTATAATCCTACATATTTTGAAGAGTAAAAGAGAAAAGAATAAGCAAATTAATCACACTGCCAAACAAAAAACTAAATGTATGCGAAAATGGAAAGAACGCATGCCTCTTACGACGAAAATATCACGCATTTATAAGCGAAAAAAGCCGAGTACGCCACAGAACCAGCCAGCATCCCCACGCTAACCTGTACTTTAGCAGTTCTAAGCAGCACGCCTTTACACAGCGCTCATCACGGCACYTGGGTACAGACTCGTGGCAAAACCACGATTTCTCACAAAGCTGGCCGCCAGGGAAGGGGAAGGGAAGACCAGGGTATTTCCGAACACGGCAGAGCCTCCGTTTCCTGCCGACAGACCGGCCTGCTCAGGCACACCGCCAACGAGGGGTAGACCCCAGGGAAGCGGCAGCCTCGGCTCTGAGGCACCGCGAACAAGGACACATCACAGCCCCACACACCGACCCTACCCCGCCACCGCGCTGTCCCCGCGGCCCCACACACCGACCCTGCCCCGCCACCGCGCTGTCCCCGCGGCCCCACACACCGACCCTGCCCCGCCAC